TCTCCACCCCCCCCGTCCCCTCCATGTCCCCAACGTCCCCATGGGGACCCACCAAACCCTCCCTGATGTTCTCCAACCCCTGTCCCCTCCATGTCCCCGATGTCCCCATGGGGACCCACCAAACCCTCCCTGATGTTCTCCAACCCCTGTCCCCTCCATGTCCCCGATGTCCCCATGGGGACCCACCAAACCCTCCCTGATGTTCTCCACCTCCCCCTGTCCTCTCCATGTCCCCAACCCCCCGATGTCCCCATGGGGACCCACCAAACCCTCCCTGATGTTCTCCACCTCCCCCTGTCCTCTCCATGTCCCCAACCCCCCGACGTCCCCATGGGGACCCACCAAACCCTCCCCGATGAGCTCCACCTGGGCAACCTCCCCACATCCCCTCTGCCCCCTACCCCTCTGACATCCCCATGGGTGCCCCTCCTTGACATCCTCCACCTGGGGTCACCTCCCCCTGTCCCCTCCATGTCTAAGATGTCCCCAACCCTCCGACACAGTGACCCACCAGACCCTCCTTGGTGTCCTCCACCTCCCCATGTCCCCTCCATGTCACCCAAGATATCCCCATGGTGACCCACCACACTCTCCTTGATGTCCTCCATCTGGGCCACCTCCCCGCGTCCTCACGCCCCCTCTGTCCCCCATCCCTCCGACGTCCCCATGGGTGACCCATCTGTCCCCCATCCCTCCGACGTCCCCATGGGTGACCCATCTGTCCCCCATCCCTCCGACATCCCCGTGGGTGACCCACCACACCCTCCTTGACGTCCTCCACCTGGCCGCAGGTCCCCTCCATGCCCAAGATGTCCCCGACCCTCCCAGGTCTCCACGGTGACCCAGCACACCCTCCTTGAAGTTCTCCACCCATCCCACCCGGCCCCGTGTCCCCAGGGAGGTGACGGTCACCCACCAGGGCCCTCTTGACGTACTCCTCCTGGGCCGCCTTGGTGTTGTCCTTCTTGCCGGCCCAGGCGCGCAGGGCCGAGGCCTGGAGGGCGCGGCCGTAGGAGAAGGTGAGGGCCCATGGCCGGGGCAGGGGACAACGGTTGATGGCGTTGAGGTTGATGGAGGCCTCCTCCTCGCTCTGCCCACCCGACAGGAAGGTGATGCCTGAGGACACCACGGAGACAGGGTCAGGGGACACCGTGGGGATGTGCCCATGGGGACGTGGACACCACGAGGATGTAGCTATGGGGATGGGGACGTGTCCATAAGGACGTGGACACCACGAGGATGTAGCTATGGGGATGGGGACGTGTCCATAAGGACGTGGACACCACGAGGATGTAGCTATGGGGATGGGACACCATGAGGAGATGGCCACGGGGACGCAGCCGTGGGGACGAGGACACCACGGGGACGCAGCTGTGGAAATGGGGCCATCACGGGGATGTGGTCATGGGGACGTAGCTGTGGGGATGGGGACACCATGAGGACATGGCCATGGGGATGGGGACACCATGAGGACGTAGCCATGGGGACGGGGACACCATGAGGACGTAGCCATGGGGACGGGGACACCATGAGGACGTAGCCATGGGGACGGGGACACCATGAGGACGTAGCCATGGGGACGGGGACACCATGAGGACGTAGCCATGGGGACGGGGACACCATGAGGACGTAGCCATGGGGACGGGGACACCATGAGGACGTAGCCATGGGGACGGGGACACCATGAGGACGTAGCCATGGGGACGGGGACACCATGAGGACGTAGCCATGGGGACGGGGACACCATGAGGAGGTAGTGATGGGGAAAAGGACACCATGAGGATGCAGCCATGGGGACGAGGACACCATGAGGATGTAGCCATGGGGATGGGGACACCACGAGGATGTAGCCATGGGGACACCATGAGGACACGGCCATGGGGACGGGGACACCATGAGGATATGGCCATGGGGACGGGGACACCATGAGGATATGGCCATGGGGATGGGGACACCATGAGGAGGTAGCCATGGGGACGGGGACACCACGAGGAGGTAGTGATGGGGACACCACGAGGACACGGCCATGAGGACAAAGACACCACAAGGACACGGCCATGGGGACGGGGACACCATGAGGACATGGCCATGGGGATTTGGACACCACAAGGATGTAGCCATGGGGGTGGGGGACACCACGAGGAGGTAGTGATGGGGACACCATGGGGACACCATGAGGAGGTAGTGATGGGGACAAGGACACCATGAGGATGTAGCCATGGGGATGGGGACACCATGAGGAGGTAGTGATGGGGACACCGCAAGGAAGTAGCCATGGGGATGGGGACACCACGAGGACATGGCCATGGGGATGGGAACACCACGAGGATGTAGCCATGGGGATGGGGACACCACGAGGATGTAGCCATGGGGATGGAGACACCATGAGGATGTAGCCATGGGGATGGGGACACCATGAGGATGTAGCCATGGGGATGGGGACACCATGAGGATGTAGCCATGGGGACGGGGACACCATGAGGATGTAGCCATGGGGATGGGGACACCATGAGGATGTAGCCATGGGGATGGGGACACCACGAGGAGGTGGTGATGGACACGGGCAGCGGGTGGCACTGACCGGGGACAGCGGGTGGCACGGTGCGGCGCAGGGCGGTGACGGTGGCCATGGCGATCTCCTCGGGGCTGTACTTCTTGCTGCAGGCGTGACCCGGTGTCACCATGTTGGGCTTCAGCAGCGTCCCCTCCAGGTAGACGTGGTGGTCGCTCAGCGCCTTGTAGACGGCGGCCAGCACCTTGGGGACATGGGGACGTGGGTGGGGACGCCAGGGGGACGCGGTGGGGGACAGCGTGGGGACACGGCGGGGACATCACCCACCTTCTCGGTGACGTACTGGCAGTGCTTCAGGTCGTGGTCACCATCTGGGAGGATCTCGGGCTCCACGATGGGGACGATGCCGTTCTGTGGAGACACGGGGGACGTTGGGGACAGCGACACCCCAGGGGGTCACCACAGGGGACAGGACGGCGGGAGGTGGCCCTGGGGTGGCAGGAAGGGACACGGAAGTGACACCGTGTCACATCTCAGCACCATCTCTGGGTGACACCCAGTGTGGCTGGGAGGTCACCAAGCACCACGGGCCACCCAGAGGGGACACAGGTGTGGGGTTAGGGACAGGGAGGTGACACCAAGACAGGAAGGGACACGCTGAGGTGACCCAAGGGCGCAGAGGTGTCACTGCACCACATCTAGGTGCCACCTTGGGCATGGAGGTGTCACTGCACCACATCTAGGTGCCACCTCGTGGTGTCACCCTGCAACCAGGAAGGGACACGCTGAGGTGACCCAAGGGCGCAGAGGTGTCACTGCACCACATCTAGGTGCCACCTTGGGCATGGAGGTGTCACTGCACCACATCTAGGTGCCACCTCGTGGTGTCACCCTGCAACCTGGAGGCCACCAACCACCACTGGGTGCCCGGAGGTGACACAAGAGATGGAGTGGGGACACAGTGAGGTGTCCCAAGAGCATGGGGGTGCCACCACACCATCTCCACGTCCCACCACAGCACCTCTAGGTGCCACCACACCATCCCCACGTCCCACCACAGCACCTCTAGGTGCCACCACACCATCCCCACGTCCCACCACACCACCTCTAGGTGCCACCACACCATCTCCATGTCCCACCACAGCACATCTAGGTGACACCACACCATCCCCACATCCCACCACAGCACCTCTAGGTGCCACCACACCATCCCCATGTCCCACCGCATCACCTCTAGGTGCCACCACACCATCTCCATGTCCCACCGCAGCACCTCTAGGTGCCACCACACCATCCCCACGTCCCACCACAGCACCTCTAGGTGCCACCACACCATCCCCACGTCCCACCACACCACCTCTAGGTGCCACCACACCATCCCCACGTCCCACCACACCACCTCTAGGTGCCACCTTGTGGTGTCACCCCACAACTTGGAGGCCACCAACCACCCTCGGGTGCCCAAAGGTGACCCGGGACAGGGTTGGGGACAGCGGGGAGGGGACAGAGACCTGCTGGCAGATGCTGGCGTAGCGGGCGAGGACGTTGGCGTTCTCCATGACAGCCAGGCGCGTGGGCGTGTGCTCGGTGATCTTGAGGACACAGCGCCACTTGGCGAAGTCGGCCCCGTCCTTCTTGTACTGGGCACAGCGCTCCATCAGCCCGTCCAGCCCTGGGGACAGCGCGGGGACATCAGCCATGGGGACACCAGGGCACCAGGGGAGCAGGGCCGGGGACCCCGTGGTGGCATCGGGGGTGGGGACAGGTCATGGAGGAGGCCATCATGGTGGTATCAGGGCTGGGGACAGGTCATGGAGGAGGCCATCATGGTGGTATCAGGGGTAGGGACAGGTCATGGAGGAGGCCATCATGGTGGTATCAGGGGTAGGGACAGGTCATGGATGAGGCCATCATGGTGGTATCAGGGGTAGGGACAGGTCATGGATGAGGCCATCATGGTGGTATCAGGGGTAGGGACAGGTCATGGATGAGGCCATCATGGTGGTATCAGGGGTGGGGACCCCGTGGTGGCATCGGGGGTGGGGACAGGTCATGGAGGAGGCCACTACGGTGGCATCAAGGATGGCGACACTGTGGTGGCATGGGGAGAGATGTCATGGATGAGGCCACCATGGTGGCATCAGGGGTGGGGACACCAATGGGGCTTCGAGGTGGAAGCAGGAATGAGGCCACCGTGTTGGCATCAAGGATGGGGACATTGTGGTGGCATGGGAGAGATGTCATGGATGAGGCCACCCTGGTGGCATCAGGGGTGGGTACCCCGTGGTGGCATCGGGGGTGGGGACAGGTCATGGAGGAGGCCATCATGGTGGTATCAGGGGTGGGGACAGGTCATGGATGAGGCCATCATGGTGGTATCAGGGGTGGGGACAGGTCATGGATGAGGCCATCATGGTGGTATCAGGGGTGGGGACAGGTCATGGATGAGGCCATCATGGTGGTATCAGGGGTGGGGACAGGTCATGGATGAGGCCATCATGGTGGTATCAGGGGTGGGGACAGGTCATGGATGAGGCCATCATGGTGGTATCAGGGGTGGGGACAGGTCATGGATGAGGCCATCATGGTGGTATCAGGGGTGGGGACAGGTCATGGATGAGGCCATCATGGTGGTATCAGGGGTGGGGACAGGTCATGGATGAGGCCATCATGGTGGTATCAGGGGTGGGGACAGGTCATGGATGAGGCCATCATGGTGGTATCAGGGGTGGGGACAGGTCATGGATGAGGCCATCATGGTGGTATCAGGGGTGGGGACAGGTCATGGAGGAGGCCATCATGGTGGTATCAGGGGTGGGGACAGGTCATGGATGAGGCCATCATGGTGGTATCAGGGGTAGGGACAGGTCATGGATGAGGCCATCATGGTGGTATCAGGGGTAGGGACAGGTCATGGATGAGGCCATCATGGTGGTATCAGGGGTGGGGACCCCGTGGTGGCATCGGGGGTGGGGACAGGTCATGGAGGAGGCCACTACGGTGGCATCAAGGATGGCGACACTGTGGTGGCATGGGGAGAGATGTCATGGATGAGGCCACCATGGTGGCATCAGGGGTGGGGACACCAATGGGGCTTCGAGGTGGAAGCAGGAATGAGGCCACCGTGTTGGCATCAAGGATGGGGACATTGTGGTGGCATGGGAGAGATGTCATGGATGAGGCCACCATGGTGGCATCAGGGATGGGGACACCAATGGGGCTTCGAGGTGGAATTAGGGTTAGGGATACTGCGGTGGCATCAGGGACGGGGACAGTGACGAAACCTGGGAGAGACATCACGGATGAGGCCACCATGGTGGCATCAGGGGTGGGGACACAGCTGTCACTTACCCTGGGTTGTTGTCTCGCCGTTGGTGCCAGCCAGGGGCACGACCCCCTTGTCCACCTGGGGGATGAGGACAGGGTGATGGGGCTGACCCGCCTCCCCTCCATGTCCCCCACGTCCCCTCATTGTCCCCAAGGGCCCCAATGTCCCTGAGATGTCCCCAGCTCAACACCAACAAGGCTGCCTGATGAAGCCACCTCTGATGTGGTTGACCTGGTCCCACCTTCCATGTGGTTGACCTGGCCCCAGGAACATCCAACCCCCCTACGTCCCCTCATTGCCCCCAAAGGTCCTCAATGTCCACCCGATGTCCCTGAGATGTCCCCAGCTCAACGCCAACGCAGGTGCCTGATGAAGCCACCTCTGATGTGGTTGACCTGGTCCCAGGAGCATCCAACCCCCCTACGTCCCCTCCTTGTTCCCAAAGGCCCTCGATGTCCACCCGATGTCCCCAGCACAACACCAACAAGGCTGCCTGATGAAGCCACCTCTGATGTGGTTGACCTGGTCCCACCTTCCATGTGGTTGACCTGGCCCCAGGAGCATCCAACCCCCCTACGTCCCCTCATTGTCCCCAAAGGTCCTCAATGTCCACCCGATGTCCCTGAGATGTCCCAAGCTCAACACCAACGCAGGTGCCTGATGAAGCCACCTCTGATGTGGTTGACCTGGTCCCAGGAGTATCCAACCCCCCTACGTCCCCTCCTTGTTCCCAAAGGCCCTCGATGTCCACCCGATGTCCCCGGCACAACACCAACAAGGCTGCCTGATGAAGCCACCTCTGATGTGGTTGACCTGGTCCCACCTTCCATGTGGTTGACCTGGCCCCAGGAGCATCCAACCCCCCTACGTCCCCTCATTGTCCCCAAAGGTCCTCAATGTCCACCCGATGTCCCTGAGATGTCCCAAGCTCAACGCCAATGCAGGTGCCTGATGAAGCCACCTCTGATGTGGTCACCTCTGATGTGGTTGACCTGGTCCCACCTTCCATGTGGTTGACCTGGCCCCAGGAGCATCCAACCCCCCTACGTCCCTTCATTGTCCCCAAAGGCCCTCGATGTCCACCCGATGTCCCCGAGATGTCCCCAGCTCAACGCCAACGCAGGTGCCTGATGAAGCCACCTCTGATGTGGTTGACCTGGTCCCACCTTCCATGTGGTTGACCTGGTCCCACCTTCCACGCGGTCACCCCCGAGCCCCCGCGGTGTCCCCGAGGTTGTCCCCACCTTGATGCCCACCAGGGCGCCCTTGCTGCGGATGACCTCGGGGAAGGGACGCCCATCGGCCGCCTTCTGGTAGAGGGTCTCGTGGAAGAGGATGACGCCACCGATGCAGGGGTCCACGCGGCTGTCGGCCGTGAAGAGCAGCTGCCGGTACCAACGCCGGTTCTCCTCCGTGTTCTCCGCCCCCACCGAGCTCAGCCGCTTGGCGATGCTGCCTGCGGCCCAACCAGTACAAACCAGTTCAGCCCAGTAACCCCCACTGGTCTCTTTGTGCTGCCCACAAGGTGCCCCAGTAGCTCCCAGTACTGCTCCAGGGGCCCTCAGGACCCCCCTGGTGCCACCTGGAAGTTCTCAGATGCTTGTTGGTTCTCCTTCCAGTCCTCCCAGTACAAACCACTTCAGCCCAGTACCCCTCACTGGTCTCCTCCTACTGCTCCAGTAGGATGTCCCAAGCTCAACGCCAATGCAGGTGCCTGATGAAGCCACCTCTGATGTGGTCACCTCTGATGTGGTTGACCTGGTCCCACCTTCCATGTGGTTGACCTGGCCCCAGGAGCATCCAACCCCCCTACGTCCCCTCATTGTCCCCAAAGGTCCTCAATGTCCACCCGATGTCCCTGAGATGTCCCAAGCTCAACGCCAATGCAGGTGCCTGATGAAGCCACCTCTGATGTGGTCACCTCTGATGTGGTTGACCTGGTCCCACCTTCCATGTGGTTGACCTGGCCCCAGGAGCATCCAACCCCCCTACGTCCCCTCATTGTCCCCAAAGGTCCTCAATGTCCACCCGATGTCCCTGAGATGTCCCAAGCTCAACGCCAATGCAGGTGCCTGATGAAGCCACCTCTGATGTGGTCACCTCTGATGTGGTTGACCTGGTCCCACCTTCCATGTGGTTGACCTGGCCCCAGGAGCATCCAACCCCCCTACGTCCCCTCATTGTCCCCAAAGGTCCTCAATGTCCACCCGATGTCCCTGAGATGTCCCAAGCTCAACGCCAATGCAGGTGCCTGATGAAGCCACCTCTGATGTGGTCACCTCTGATGTGGTTGACCTGGTCCCACCTTCCATGTTAGTAACCCCCACTGGTCTCCGAGTCCTGCCCCAGTGCCTCCCAGTAGCCTCCAGTTCAGCCCCAGTAGCTCATAACCATCTTCTGGTGCCACATCAAAATTCTCAAGTGCTTCCTGCGCCCATCCCAGTACAAACCAGTCACTCCCAATATAGACCAGTAATCCCCACTGGTCTCCCAGTCCCGCCCCAGCACCTCCCAGTAGCTCCCAGTGCCCCCCTGTAACACCTCATGGCACGGGAGAGCTTGGCTCCTGTTGCCTCCCAGTAAGGCCCAGTATCTCCCAGTACTCCCCAGGTGCCACCCCAGTGCCTCCCAGTACTTCCCAGTCCAGCCCTGGTGTCTCCCAGTAGCTCCCAGCGCCCTCCTGGCATGACCCCAGTGCCTCCCAGTAGCTCTCAGGGCTGTCCCAGTGCCTCCCAGTCTCTCCCAGTATGCCCCTAGTGCTTCCTAACCCCCTCTTTGCAGTTCCCAGTGCCTCCCAGTTCCTCCCAGTACGCTCCCAGTGCTTCCTAACCCTCTCCTAGCAGTTCCCAGTGCCCCCCAGTACTTTTCCAGTATGCTCCCAGTGCTTCCCAGTACAAACCAGTTCAGCCCAGTTCAGCCCAGTAACCCCCACTGGTCTCTTTGTGCTGCCCACAAGGTGCCCCAGTAGCTCCCAGTGCTGCCCCAGTAGCTCTCAGGACCCCCCTGGTGCCACCTGGAAGTTCTCAGATGTTTGTTGGTTCTGCCTCCAGCCATCCCAGTACAAACCAGTTCAGCCCAGTTAACCCCACTGGTCTCCTCCTGCTGCCCCAGTAGCTCCCAGTGCTGCTCCAGGGGCCCTCAGGACCCCCCTGGTGCCACCTGGAAGTTCTCAGATGTTTGTTGGTTCTGCCTCCAGCCATCCCAGTACAAACCAGTTCAGCCCAGTTAACCCCACTGGTCTCCTCCTGCTGCCCCAGTAGCTCCCAGTGCTGCTCCAGGGGCCCTCAGGACCCCCCTGGTGCCACCTGGAAGTTCTCAGATGCTTGTTGGTTCTGCTTCCAGCCCTCCCAGTACAAACCAGTTCATCCCAGTACTCCTCACTGGTCTCCTCCTACTGGTCCAGTAGCTCCCGGTGCTGCCCCAGTAGCTCCCAGTACAAACCAGTAGCTCCCAGGTGCTGCCCCAGTAGCTCCCAGTGCTGCCCCACCCCAGGACCCCCCTGGTGCCACCTGGAAGTTCTCAGATGCTTGTTGGTTCTGCCTCCAGCCATCCCAGTACAAACCAGTTCAGCCCAGTAACCCCCACTGGTCTCCGAGTCCTGCCCCAGTGCCTCCCAGTAGCCTCCAGTTCAGCCCCAGTAGCTCATAACCATCTTCTGGTGCCACATCAAAATTCTCAAGGGCTTCCTGCGCCCATCCCAGTACAAACCAGTCACTCCCAATATAGACCAGTAATCCCCACTGGTCTCCCAGTCCCGCCCCAGCACCTCCCAGTAGCTCCCAGTGCCCCCCTGTAACACCTCATGGCACGGGAGAGCTTGGCTCCTGTTGCCTCCCAGTAAGGCCCAGTATCTCCCAGTACTCCCCAGGTGCCACCCCAGTGCCTCCCAGTACTTCCCAGTCCAGCCCTGGTGTCTCCCAGTAGCTCCCAGCGCCCTCCTGGCATGACCCCAGTGCCTCCCAGTAGCTCTCAGGGCTGTCCCAGTGCCTCCCAGTCTCTCCCAGTATGCCCCTAGTGCTTCCTAACCCCCTCTTTGCAGTTCCCAGTGCCTCCCAGTTCCTCCCAGTACGCTCCCAGTGCTTCCTAACCCTCTCCTAGCAGTTCCTAGTGCCCCCCAGTGTGTTCCAGTCCCCTCCCAGTACAGTCCCAGTATGCTCCCAGTGCTTCCTGGTACATTCTCAGGGCTTCCTAATCACCTCCCAGCTGTTCCCAGTGCCTCCCAGTGCCCCCCAGTCCCCTCCCAGTGCCCTTCTAGCAGTTCCCAGTGCCTCCCAGTGCCCTCCAGTCCCCTCCCAGTGCCCTTCTAGCAGTTCCCAGTGCCTCCCAGTGCCCTCCAGTCCCCTCCCAGTGCCCTTCTAGCAGTTCCCAGTGCCTCCCAGTGCCCTCCAGTCCCCTCCCAGTGCCCTTCTAGCAGTTCCCAGTGCCTCCCAGTGCCCTCCAGTCCCCTCCCAGTGCCCTTCTAGCAGTTCCCAGTGCCTCCCAGTGCCCTCCAGTCCCCTCCCAGTGCCCTTCTAGCAGTTCCCAGTGCCTCCCAGTGCCCTCCAGTCCCCTCCCAGTGCCCTTCTAGCAGTTCCCAGTGCCTCCCAGTGCCCTCCAGTCCCCTCCCAGTGCCCTTCTAGCAGTTCCCAGTGCCTCCCAGTGCCCTCCAGTCCCCTCCCAGTGCCCTTCTAGCAGTTCCCAGTGCCTCCCAGTGCCCTCCAGTCCCCTCCCAGTGCCCTTCTAGCAGTTCCCAGTGCCTCCCAGTGCCCTCCAGTCCCCTCCCAGTGCCCTTCTAGCAGTTCCCAGTGCCTCCCAGTGCCCTCCAGTCCCCTCCCAGTGCCCTTCTAGCAGTTCCCAGTGCCTCCCAGTGCCCTCCAGTCCCCTCCCAGTGCCCTTCTAGCAGTTCCCAGTGCCTCCCAGTGCCCTCCCGGTACGCTTCTTAATCACCTCCTAGCCGTTCCCAGTGCCCCCCAGTCCCCTCCCAGTGCCCTTCTAGCAGTTCCCAGTGCCTCCCAGTGCCCTCCAGTCCCCTCCCAGTGCCCTTCTAGCAGTTCCCAGTGCCTCCCAGTGCCCCCCAGTGCCCTCCTGGTACGCTCTCAGGGCTTCTTAATCACCTCCTAGCCGCTCCCAGTGCCTCCCAGTCCCCTTCTAGCTGTTCCCAGTGCCTTCCAGTGCCCTCCAGTCCCCTCCCAGTGCCCTTCTAGCAGTTCCCAGTGCCTCCCAGTGCTTCCCAGTATGCTCCCAGTGCCTCCCAGTGTCCTCCAGTCCCCTCCCAGTGCCTCCCAGTGCCCTCCTGGTACACTCTCAGAGCTTCTTAATCACCTCCTAGCCGTTCCCAGTGCCTCCCAGTCCCCTCCCAGTGCTTCCTGGTATGCTCTCAGGGCTTTTTAATGGCTTCCCAGCCGTTCCCAGTGCCTCCCAGTGCCCTCCAGTCCCCTCCCAGTGCTTCCTGGTACGCTCTCAGGGCTTTTTAATGGCTTCCCAGCCATTCCCAGTGCCTCCCAGTGCCCTCCCAGTGCTTTCTGGTATGCTCTCAGGGCTTTTTAATGGCTTCCCAGCCGTTCCCAGTGCCTCCCAGTGACCCACCAGTGGACTCATCGGCGGCCAGGATGCCCTTGCCGGGGGCGACGATGCGCTGGGCGATGGCCGCCAGCTCCTGCTTCTGCTCCGGGGTCAGCGCTGGTACCGGCGGGGACATCGCGGCGGCTCTGGTGACATCAGCGGTGACATCAGCCACACCTTGGGACGTGACGGCCCCGCCCGCCCCCATGGCTGCCCCGGGGCGGGGGAAGGGGGGGGGCACAACGACACAGGCATCCGGGCAGGGGGACACCCCCCTTCCGGGGGACCCGGGAGTTTGGGGTGGAGGGGGTGGGAGATGGGACCCCCCCCTTCCAGGGGACCCGGGAGTTTGGGGGGGGAAGATGGGACCCCCCCCTTCCAGGGGACCCAGAAGTTTGGGGAAGGGGGGGAGACACCTACCCCCAGGGAACCCAGGAGTTTGGGGGGGCGGGGAAGATGGGACCCCCCCCCCTTCCAGGGAACC